GCTTTTCTAGCGTTTTCAACGCAAATGACATGAGACTAATTGGTCTCAAAGCCTTCGCCGAGTCGTGTGCGATTTTCCCAGGTTTCGGAATGAAGGTGGCCCTGATCAGTCTCCAAGTTTTTGGTATGTGTCCCAGTGCTAAGCTTGCCCTGAGAATTATACACAATTTTTTGAAAAGTGAGTCCGGTCTCTTTTGAAGCATTACTGGGTATATGCCATCAGGTCCCGGCGACTTAAAGAGTTGAAATGAGTTTACAGCCCATTTAATTTTCTCCGTATGTATCATATGATGAAACGTTAGGTATAAAAATCTGCAGACCATGGCTATAAACCCAATAACATCGGACAATTGATATCTTAATAATTTCACACTCTGAATTTCGTGTGTTCCAGCAAATGTAGAAGAACATGTTTGGGGATTTTTTATTTTTCATTTGAAGTGTATTTGCTGATAATTGACAGATATTATGTGATGTGGTTTCATAAAGTTATAGAGAACATTGGTTTATATGAGAAATAAGAGGGTACCTAGGACAGAGCCCTGAGGAACACCATGATTCATTAATGTCAACTTCGAATATTCCTTGTTATAAAAACTCTCTGAGAGCAATTTTGTAGGCATGGCTCAAGCAATTTTTGAACCAAAATTCTTTATGAAAGATATTGGTCAATGATTTCCGACCGAAAACTCGTCTTTTTTTTGGTGAAGGTTAGTAATTTTGATAAATTTAAAAATGTCAGAAAGGTACAAAAGAAAACTGTTCATGAATGTAGTACTAATGATGTTAAGTCGGATGATGATAGTGATATTGATACTTACTAAGAAAACCTTGAGTTAATCTTGGACTATTGATATTGTAATTAATAATAAAATTCTAATTTTCGGATTAGATACAGAATATATTCTGAGCATTCTTCTATTATGGTAATAATAAAATGGATACAGCTGGTACTGTCACTCTTGAGTGTTATGTAAAAGGGGTAAAGTGTAAGATCAGATTCCTGCTTGTTGATGTAGATAGTACACCAATCCTTGGATTGAAGGTTTGCATGAAACTCAACCTATTGAAATGAGTTGATTATGTGAGTTGTGGCTTTACTAATAAAAGTAACTTCAATAATATGAATAAAGGTGTATTTTCTGGTACAGGTAAGGTCTCTTTCAAATATAAACTAGTTTTGAAGAGAAATTCAGTACCTTTTGTCAGTCCTTGATGTAGAATCCTTGATTCTGTTGTAGAATCCTTGATTCTGTTGTAGAATCCTTGATTCTGTTAAACCTGCATAAAAAATACTCTTGATGACTTAAACTGACCACAAGCCGTTAGTGGCTATTTGTAACAAAGATTTTTACAAGGTGAGCAATAGATTATAAAAATTGAAGCTCAAGCTGCTGAAATATGATTTCACTATAGAGTACTATCAGGAAAGTTTATGTATATTGCGGACCTTTTATCAAAATCATCATCAAAACTAAAGAAAAAGATGAATCAAATATTAAATTTGTTCATTGTCTAGATTTAGATATTCCTATTTCTACTAGTTGCCTAGAAAATTTGAAAAAAGAAAGTGAAAGTAATTCGATATTGTCCACAGTCAGAAATTATTGTAATTTGGGTTGGCCAGAAAACCTCAAAAATTTAGAATATAATCAAGAACTTTCAGCCTTTTTCAAAATTAGAAATGACCTAGTTGTGTTTTTTTTTTGACGTTTACAATGACAAAATCATAGTTCCTAAAACTCTTAGAAATGTAATGCTTGCAAAATTACGTAACAGCACATCTTGGGAAAGAAAATGCAAGGCACGTGCCCGAAAAAATATTTTATTGGCCTGGTTCATTGCAAAATGTAAAGTTTATCAAAAATTTGATAGAAAACCTAACAAAAGAGAAGCTAGTTCAGAATGATAAAACTAACATCCCTATTACAAGGTAGCTGCTGATATTTTAACTTACGGTGGTTGTAACTATCTGGTGGTAGTTGATTATTTCAGCTTTTGGATTGACTTCGTTAAAATTGATTTTAAAACGCTGAAGAGGTTTGCAAGAAACTCAAAGCTATATTTTCAGAACATGGAATCTCTACAATATTTGTTTCCGGCAATATGTCTTTGAAATTAGAAGGTAAAGACAAGACTGTTTCTGTTCTGTTGAAAGATTTTTAACCCCTTCATGAACTTTAGAAATTTTCAAATTGATACATTTTGAACCCCCATTATATGAAACAATATTCTTAGCCCATTGCATGCATGGTTGATCCCTCATCGAATAGAGCATAAGTATTTATATATCCTTTTGGGCCATAAATCTTGATAGGGGAGCTATCCTGCGAACTTGAGAATTATTGTTGGCGAGACAAACTGTCTGAACAATTTCATCGATGTTTTTAGTTTGGGAAAGTACTTCAGAAACTTTATTTCATGCAGAAGGGTATGGTGGCGTAATTTACATCCTTCAAAGCCATAGCATTGTTCTGATTTACAAAATTGCCTTGAATGGCCGGTTTTCAAAGAACAAAAGCCAACTGTAGATTGTATAATTTTGACCAACGAACATCTAGGTATGCTATCATTTTTCAGTATGAAACAATTGTAAATTTCATTACCAGTTTTATTACAGTAAGTACGGATATTTGGTGACATCGTTTGCTTGATTTGTAGCAATCATAACATTTTTTTAAGGACAGAACACAAGCGCTCCAGGAAAATCCTCAAGGCGCTTCAGGAGCGGTGCTTGTGCGAGAGTAGCACGTTCTCAGGAAGTTTATTCCACATGCACGCAGTTTTTCAGATGAAATAGTTCTTAATCAGTGAAGTTTGAGGTGTACTGAGTTAAACCTCAAAACGATGAGCAGCCACAGTCCATCGCGTATTTATGATATGTACCGCTCTTGGTAGAATCAAATGTGCCAAGTCACTTGAACGCCTCCCCTATAAAAGTGAGACAAATTTCCGGCTTTTCTTTGATGTTCCAGTCTATCAGGATTGCAAGTGATGTTCGCGTCTCCAATCAGGCGAATGGCTCTTTTCTGGATGGAATCCAGCAGCTTCAGGTTTTGCTTAGGGGCTGAGCTTCATAAAGCATCAAAAGTTGCTGAGATGTGCACAATTTTCTGATTCGAAACAGTGTTCCAAGCTTTTGAGAAGCAGCCTTTGCAACTCCAGCGACATGATTGTGCCAAGACATATTGGTGTCCATATATTGACCAATCAACCGACAACTGCGGTAACAGTTGTCGGAGAGGTACATATGACCCAGCTAGTGCCGCGGAGAAAGCTGAGGTAAAACCATCAGGCACCTGTGCAACGTCTTTCATTTGGAAGATTCGTTGCTAGTAACTTCCTATATATGAAGATGAAAAATTGATTTCATTATTTGAACGGGACGACCACCGATAAACTGGTTTCAGAACTAGCTCCTCGTTAGTACCGGGAGGGTCATTTCAGACGGAGTGAACTGCTGAATATCCCAATCAAACAAAATCAATTCCAACTAGTTTCTAGTTTCATGGGTAACTAGAACGATTATAAATTTGTGGTAATTTCACGTTTTTTCCAAATCCTACCAATTTTTTTTTGTTTTGTGTTCTAGTACTTGTACTAGATTTCAGTGATATCTAGTACAAGTATGTTGACAAAAAATCAGTACAATCTGCTCAAATTCGGAAAGAAGATCCTACCATCTTTGAAATACATTCTGGCAACACTGTTCAGATCTGAGAAGTTGAATAGACATTTCATTAGTTCAACGGTTGTTTTGTTTTGACATATTTAAGTATTTTTATGTATACCCTATACCCAATATTAAATACTATTATTATCACAATTTATCAATTTATAAAAATTCGAAATCAAGGTGAAAAATTGATTTTTTAATTTGGAGAGAATAATCGACTTTTGGTGAGATTATAAATATACACTTTTTTGATGAAATAAATATGAATTTATCAATACTTACTAAGTAGCTATGTATAATTCAATGTTTTTTTATAGATATGAGTTCTATCAAGAAAAAATTTTTGAACGACCCAGTGTTTGGTAAGCATTCATTTTTTTCTCATTTCATGCAGATAAAATGAAACCAATCTCATTTTTGTTCAGAATGTTTTTACAAAGTTTTAGTCAATTCAGCAGGGGCCTTTTGCCTCATCGAAAACCTGTTGGGTATTTTTATATGCAGGTATTGAACTGAAAACATTTTCATATTATTACATTGTTATATATAAAAATTAAAAATTGGAAGTCATCATTTCTCTCAACAGACAATATTTTATCCTGTTGCTAATCAATAAATATGATTATATGCTATTATCAAATTTGTTCCATTCTTTCTTTGGAACTTTTTTGTGATCGCATTTTATTTAATCTGTGTCAGTATTGCTAAAAGCTTAATTTTCATGTGATTTACTCATTCTATACTATTTGAAGATATTGATCCAATTTCTGGAGCACCTGGTGAGTTGATGAATTCATGAGTTGAAATTAAAGTGATTTAAAAACTTGTTTTTTCAGATTCTACAAAAAATAGCATTGAAACTAAATCAAGGAGAATGGTAGAACTTAAACCTCTGCACTTGTTTGGAGATTTTAAAGGTACTCACTTTACTGAAAATCTATTATTGAAATAATGAAGAAAAGAGAAATGAAACTTTCTATGTTTTTACCACTTTTAAATGTAACTAACATTACTGCAGTTTCGTCCTATACGGACTTATACAATAAACTCATTGTATAAATTTGAAAATGTCAATAAAATCATTGTTTGAAAATGCAGTAACGTTAGGTGCAAATAAAAGTGGTAAAAAAAATGGAAAGTTTTATTTCTCTTTTCTTCATTATGATTTCCTACCTTGTAGTAACGGCTACATCCATCAATTTATTAATGAAATCTAACTAATTTTAGAAATGTTGATATTTTTATTTTTGTCAGAACTTATTTTAGTTTTATTCCAGTTCCTGCCGAAAAAAGTTGTGAAAAAAAAACAAAAAAAACTGTGGAACTCAAACCCCTGCAATTGAAGTTGGAGGATTTCAAAGGTATATGTTTACTAGAATAGTAATTAGTAAAAGTTGAAAAACTTGTTCCAGTTCTTGAACTGGATGGAGTCATCATTCTTATTCAGAATTTTTGTAATGTGCTGAGACCATTATTGTTTAAACTTTATATCAATGAGCCTTTATCTTATGTCGCCACTTGTATCACTCATTATGAAATATCCTCTAATTTAAACATTTCATGAATACTTACACCAACAGCTCTTGTTTCACATTGAATGGTTTTGACTGTTTGCCAAAAATTCATGCTTTCTTGAAGCCGCATTTTCATATTAGGTATTAGATCATATACAAATCTTGGGGTCATCAACTACTTCTAATGTAGTTTATGAAAGAATCATTCTGAGACATGATTAGACAAAAAAACATGATCGAAGTTGAAAATTATCAACAAACTCCTCTAAAATGTAGATTATGAAAAAATCATTCTGAGACATGATCAGGAAAGGAAGGATCAAGGTCGCAAATGATCGATAAACTTATCTCTGGTTATTTAAAGTTTTGCTTGCATGTCAAGATATGAGTTTAGTTCAAAGTAGGAAGCAGAGTAATCTAGTAAAATGAGTGTAACTAATATTAAAATTAAACTCAATACAACACAACAATACTTATACGAATTTGATAAATCATGAGGATCAGAGGACAACATCTTGAGCTTATAATGGCAGAAACCTTTCCCATTAAAACCATATATTGTGAAACGAACATCGTCTTATGAACATATGGGGTTCTGTATTTGGAATACACTAACATATAATGTAAACATCATTTCATGAAATACAAGACACCAAAACCTGTACAGAAATCTGTACATATTTACATTTTGTGATCTTAGCCTTGTTTGTTGACAAGGTATTTTTTTCAACAATTATTAATCTGAACTATTCAAAAATAACATCAACTCTATTTTCTAATGACGGAATGCCTTGTGACTTTTGACGAATATTATCAGTGGATACATCATTATCACTTTCTTCGTTAGGATGAAAACATACTGGGTGGTTCTCAGTTTGCAAACCTTTGTCAGTTTGAAGTATCTGTTCCAAAGGTTTCTTATCATTTTCTTAGATTTCTGTTTAGAAAAATATTGCATATCTGCTTTTTATGATTTTGTTTGTTTTCAGATCTATGAGGTGATAAGCTTTTGTATCTTCAAAATATCTCAAAAAAATATATTTCTTTGACTTGGAATTCCACTTTTTCCTCTTTTCTTTCGGAATATGAACGATACATTCAAAACCAAAATCTCGAAGATAACTAATATCTGGTTTCTTTAAACTCCAGATTTCTTCAGGAGTGCTTTTAGTTTTTATTTAGAAACTGCTTCAACCCAATATTTCTATGGTAAATTGCTTTCAATTAGCATACTTCTTGCTATATTCACTATAACCCGGTTCATTTGTTCAGCAATCCCAGTTTGCTTGGGATTATCAGGTATAGTGAGTTGATGTTGACTTCCAGTTTTTTTTAGTGATGTGCTGAAAAGTTTATTCACGTACGCGCCACAATTATCAGACCGCAAAATTTTAATTTTTTTTTGGTTTGCTTCCTAACCATAACTTTAAATTCATAGAAAACATTTTTGACTCGATTATTTTCTATGAAATAAACAAATACTTTTCTGGAGAAGTTATTGTACAGATGACGCTGAGTTGTTGGAAAGGTTCCGTGGGAAAAAAATTACGTATTCCAGGAACTTTACTTATCGACTTCAAAATTAATTAACAACAAATATAAAAGGAGTACTTCAGATACAAAATTACAGACGTATTCTTGAAACAACTTGATTAACATTCATTGTCAAAAACTATGGATCGTATACAGAATGTTGGCAGGCGTTGCCTCATTCAACAGTTATAAATGAAGGTCAGCATGTATTCAGCTCCGCCTATGGATTTTATTTCCATTGGCCCACAAATATCTGACTTAATCAAGTCTAGTATCTCACTAAAATGGAGTGACTATGTGAGCGGTATATAAGAGATGAAGTACTAGTTCACAACCCACTTCATCCAAATCAGCATGCATATACTCCGGGAAGGTCTACTGATTCGGCCCTTCACCATGTGGTTGGCAGAATCGAGAGGTCATTGGACAACAAAGAATCCACCCTGGGTATATTCATAGATATTGAGGGAGCATTTGATAAAACAACCTTTCCAACAATTACCCAGCAACTACACTCCAGGAATGTACTCCTGGTAGTAGGAGAATGGATACTCAAGATGCTCTCTAGTAGAGCAATAAGTATCAATGTAGATGGCATCACAGTGATAGGACTGGTTGTGAGGAGATGTCCACAGGGAGGGGAGGGGAGGGGAGGGTCAGTGTAATGAGTATCATACAAGGGGTAGAAATTACTTACACTTGAGCATGGTAAGAACGAACAAAGGATTATATGGTGAAGATGCTTGTGGCACTTGTGCATCGCCAGAGTACAGAATTGGTTGAGCAGTAGATAACACGTTAGGGTAAAACCATTTGGACCGGTTTTTTTATTAATCCAGTTTATATTAACCACACAAAATAACAATCGTTCTGATTATCTTAACCACTATGTATGAAGAATACCCATTACAGCTATCTCCTTGATAACTATAATAGAATAGTGGCACATTCAGATGTATGCCTGTCAGCTCCCACCATTGTACACAACAAAAAATGGTTAGACTACATTTTCTTGTCCACAGACTGGTTACGTTTCCCTTTAGCAAAGAAGGTTATGATATCGAGAAAAAAGTTATCAAATAGATCGCTGAAAATAACAGGTATCCTTCAAACATGTGGAATAAATTAATATTAGGAAAAAGAAATTTGAGAAGTGTTTTCGTAAATTTTCGACTTTTCACATAAAGGAAGGCTCCAAAATTCATAGTTCTTCCATACAAACTGATATACACCAATGGATTGATTAAAATTTTTAAAATGGCTTTCAAAACTGCTCGTACACTTCAACAAGTGTTGGGCAACCCTAAAGATAAAATGACAATAATGGTAAAGTCTGGGATTCACGAAATAAGCTATGAGGATTGCGATAAAGTATATTGATCAAACTAAGTGGCATAGTTTCCTGTATTTCTAGTGATACGGCTTTTATAAAACTTGCAAATATTCTGCGGTGTAATGGGCAATCTGAAAGTCGAGACTGACAAAATTTCAAAAACCAGTTGTGAGGTATCAGCCAGCTAGCCTTTACACTAGGCATTGTGCAAATGAATATACTGTCAACCATGCTTGACAGTTCGTATTGGAACCTCTGGCGTAAAATAAATCTATTGAAAACACTTTCCTAACACCAGAACAAAAATTACGATATCTCGAGAGAGACCGTAATTTTTGTTGAGGTGTTGGGAAAGTGTTTTCAATAGTGTCAACCATGTCCTAAGCATTTATTAATAATGAACAATGAGATATCAAACTTTCTATATTTTTTAAAAAAATTTATTTGTAACTAACGTCCTATTTGTATAATTATTTTAATCAATCTAGATTGTTAGCACATAAAGGTAGCGAGAATGCTCTGTGCAACAATGAATTGTAGGCTGCTAATATATGACTGTCGGAATGGAAATAATCACTTGGGATTGTAATGTCTGTATAGCTCAGTTTTCTGAATACAATCAACTCAAATTATTATGATTATGTGTAATGGTCAGATTTAAGAAATCAATTTGTTTTTCTATCTTTGTTTCGAGTATGAACTGTGTGTTTCTATTGAGATTATTCATAAATGTCACAAATTGGTTCAGCTGTCATGTACATATCGGTACCAAAAATGAATATGTTTTTAACCCAGGTCGGAATTTATAATAGTGGTCCCCAAGCTGTTCATAAATATTTTTGGTGAAAATGGCCTTTTGGTGAACCTGAATCCCGTTATAAAATTTGTTGTTGACTGTAAGTAACTCTGATTTAGGCATACCTACATTAAAAGCTGTGAATATTTTAAAAAAAGTTATATGGTCTACTTTGGCTTGATTTAAGATATCTAAAATGAGGGACATTCATTTTAAGATATGTTGGAGAACAGTCTTTAAATTGAATAAAACTAAAATTGAATTGTTTGGTGTGGTTTGGTTACTCATTTCTTCTACTAAACCCAAGTTTAGCTTTGCTCTAAATCATAAGACATTTGACTGATATTATTGAGATTTATCAAAATGAAGATAGATATTTTTATATCCATACCAATAAAAATTGAATTTTGAAAATATTTTAGAACCAGAAGCCAAATTGAGGAAAACTGAGTCTAACTCTGTGCGAAAAGGCCTATTTACAATAACAAACAATAGATCCGCCCAAGGAGGCAGAAGCTCTTTAAATAAGCGAAATTCAGCTGCCAGAAAAAAGTTAAACAAAAAGGCCAGTCTCACTTACAAATTATTATTTTAATTTATAATATCAATATCATTTTTCAGGTTCAAATAAACAAGAAAATAAACCCAGTTGAGCTATCACCTTTAATGAACTTGGAAGAAGTAGAAGAAGAATTTTTGAATAAGAAAGCATCACTGAGGGGTTACCCTTTCAAATCCCCAGCAAAACCTGTTCTTAATTTTACAAGGAATAATCTGAATATGGAAACAAAGACAAAAAAATTCATGGTCCCGCAGGTGATAGTGGAAGAACCATCTGAATCATTCATTGAAAAAGAACCTGATATAACTGAAGTTGTAAAAATGGAAGAGCCCAAAACTCCAGATTCAGCTTCTTCAAATGAGTTTTTAAAATTGGAACAAATGTGCTTTACAGAAGAAATGAGAGACTTGTGTAAAGGTAACTTTTTGATTCCTATATGTTCCTATTGCCTTTGAATTTAGAAATGCAGTTAACCACTGCTAAATGTTTGAATGTAGGAAAGTTATCACTTGCTTGTACATAATTTGTTCTTCTTCAAACAAAGTCCAACCACTCCTAGCATATATGGTAAAATTTAAGTTTTTAGTTACTTCTGATGAAGTAGGAGCAATACCATGTTTTGAGAATGTCATCTGAGATGATGGCAAAACGTTAACCTTCCAAAACCCCCCAACAGATGAACACTCGAAAAAAGAAACCCAAACAAAAATATTGGTTTTGCATTTTTGTACTATTTTACGAGGGGTAATAATAATGTTTACTCTCCCAATCTTAAATAAATGTTGTTCTTTGAACATCACTTCGAAAACAAACAATTCAACCAGCCATAAGGGAATAATTTCGAGCATGAATGTGGGTTTTGAATAAAACTGTGATGTTGAAATATTTCAACATCATCACATGTAACATTTTAGATTGAAAGGTATAAAATTAAAGGTTCTCCTAAACAGATACTTGTACTATAAACAATATTTCTAGATATGAATTGAAAATTCCAAACTGAATAGTGGCATTAAAATTTGAGCAATTACAATTAAATAGTACGTTTCGATCACTTCTTGAATGAGAGAACAAAGACAATGGGCGGTAATAAGTGTGAATCCATTTTTCAATTATTATTTTGTAAAAATTCCAGGACTTTATATTTTGAATCTCCTAGATTATTCGAATTAGATTCAATGTACACATGACATATTTGTGGTATACTTTTTCTCAATTTAGGAACATTTAATGCAGTTGTGCCGAAGCTATTTTCTAGGTTTGTTGCCCGTGATCTACAGATTTTCATACCTGAAATTTAGTCTGAATGGATAAAATTTTGTATTTTGTTTAGAAAACAAGTTAATACGACACAAATTATCCAAAGTTTAGATTATGTATGTCATCATCTGGTATCAGTGCTATGTATATTTTATATTTTTTTTTTAAATTTTTTAACTTTGTAACCATGATGTTATTCATGAACAATAAAGTACTTTCTCTCTCAAAAACAGTTGAACGCTCTTTTTTTTTCTTTTTTTTTAAGTTTTCAATCACCTGATTGTAAACGCTAGTTGCTGATTTACGTTTCAGATTCCAACCAATAGAAATCAAATAAGTCAAGTTAAGTGAGAAACTACACCAAATTTAATGAAATATTATCAACAAAAACATAATTCAAACATTTCAAAACAAGAGCAACCAAATGCATGATAATTATAAATACATCATGAACTGAATGATCAGTAAGAAAAAAAAATTTGAGTTTTATCAATGATTTCAAAGTTCTCCACATTTTCCTCATGAATTATTCAGTACAGTACAAAATGTTATTTTGACAATTATGATTTTTTCTTTTTCAATAGGTTAACTTCGTTCTATAAACTTTTGTTGGTGGTCCACTTTAATTATTTATCATTCTCAGTTAGAGTGATATTTATTGTGGAATAAAGTACCTCTTGGAATATGTAATTTTCGTAAAAGGGGGTGTTAGGATATATAAGAAATATTTTTGAAAATCCTCATTACAAACTTGAAGAATTTTTTAATAATTATTTGACATTTAGAAACAACTTTTACATTTTACATTACATTCAGAGTGTTTATACACTCTTCTATGTCAGTATTATATTTTGATAGTTCTGTTCATAATCCATCTGAATGTGTATGTATAGTGTGTATCTATAGATTGATGGTAATTTCATTAGTTCAGACTTCCATTGTCTAATATGATGTAATATGATTTGCAATCCCTGAAAGAACAAACAAAATTGAAAATTCAACCACTGTTGCAAATATTACCTAATTTGGTTAAAAAATTCACAACTTACCCTAAAAAATGTCGCTAGTTCCTTCCGTTCACCCAGTACGTTGACAATTAGGGAAAATAGGAAGGTGAAGTAGGAAACTGAAGGAAATATTAACTCTAATCGAAAAATCTTCCAAACATTCTTCCCAAACAATCGAAATAACTTAATTCATATGTATCACGAACCGATGAAAAAATAATAATAATATATCATGAGTTCCGTCTTTCATTAACTCAAGAAACATACTACTTTTACGTACCAATACGGTTCGTTTTCTTTTTAAATATTGTGCGGTTGTTTTAATATAAACAGAAAGTTGAAAGATCATTTCATGCATATGTATGTCCGTTATTGTAAAGTTAACATTACTTTTATCTGACATTAGTTTACATATCTAAAACAGAAATTCTATTGCAGAATCTCCGATATCATCAATGTGTAATTTACTGTCAGATACAGGTTTGAGCAGTACAAAAAAGTCAAAAGTGAACCCCTACAAGGAGAGCAACGTTGCCATAAACATCAAAAATATAATACAATCTGAAGAAATTGCTTTCAACCAATACAGGGTTGTGCATGAGGGGAACATGAAAAAATTGTTTCACATACTTTCCTCATTAGAAAAAAAAGCAGAGACCATTTCCGAAGTCAAGACACCAGATAAAGAGAACAACCCAAACAGAAGTAACAGAAGGTCAGTGAGGCTTCAGAATAAAAGTCCACATGGTGGAAATAATGAGAAACTCCTCATCTCTCCCAGTATTTTGAGAAGCGGTGACCTGCGTAAATCTACTCTGAAGAAGAACTTAGCAGCTAGAAATCAAGACCTGAACAATCAAAGTCCTAGAACTCGGAGAGCTTTTAATTTGTACAACACTCTCAGGGAAAAACATTCAATTTTGGAGACACCAAAACTGGATAGAAAGGCTTTGGCAGAGACTCCTAATATGGGAAGATATATTTCAATGAAGGTTCAAAACCAATGTCTGCTTCTACAAGACACTCCTGTACATAAGTGATTCTTTCATATTTTGATGATTATTTATTTTCTGTACACTGTTATTTTTATTTCTATTTACTTAATGTCGATGAATAAATACTTACTTTTAAAATTCGGGCATTTTGTTTCTAATAGCTTCAAATTACACACATAAGAAAATGTTTCATTTTTATCTGTCTTGATAGTGTAACTTAGGATTAAGTTTAGTTCCATTTATGTATTTATGTTCCGTGTTCCATGGACAGGGGAAGTGAACAGTGTCGTTGACAGCAACAGTGATGCGTCGTTTATAAAAATTTACTTTGTAAATGTACCTGTTTAATTATTATTAATAAACAATATATGTATAACTTAGATTACATCGTTATACAACTGTAACATGGTGTCAGGTTAGATGGTACTTGAGCAAAAAGTAAGATACCCACTTGAAGGAATAAATAATGGAACAAAAAATTACTGAAAATGGAGGGAACCTTCAAGCCATATAAGAGCTTGTTGTTTAACAAATATGTCCATGTGAATCTGGATAATTTTCTTTTAAAAACTTGATACTTACATGAAAGCAACCAGACTCGAAAGTAAGGAAGATCCAACTAAAGTTGCTATCTTATTGAATTTGGCTGGTGAGGAAGCACAAAAGAAGTTTCAGATATTCCAACTAACAGATGCAGAAAAAAGTAACTTTCACAGCGTAGTAGACTCCTTCAAGAACTATTGTAAACCCATGCGAAATGAAACTTATGATCGCTATAAGTTTTTCACCAGAACTCAACTAGAAGGTGAATCATTCAGTAATTTTGTAACAGACATTAAAATGCTTGCATCATTATGCAACTTTGCTATGTTAGAAGATTCTCTGGTCTGGGATAGACTAGTGAGTGGTATACTAGATTTGTCACTACAAGAGAGGCTGCTACAGCAATCCGCTTCAACACTCAAGAAAGCAGAAGCAATCTGCAGAGCATCAAAGATAAGCAAAATACAAGTTAAGGACCTGCATAATGACAAAGAGGTTGATTTAATAAAACAATCATGGAGAAATGATGGTAATCAGAAGCAACCAGGACAAGCTAAAAGTTTAAAATGTGGTCTTTGGCATTCTACAGGTAATTGCTCTGCTTATGGTAAAATTTGCTCGATTTGCAATAAATAATATATTTATTTCTCTTCCGAATATGTATTCTGTAACTCAATTTCACTCTCTTCAGTGTTTTCTGTACATAAAATAGACCTAAATAATAACTGTTCTTTTATTCGTCATCATGAATATAACATTGCACAAGATTCAGATCTTGAATTCCTTTGGATAGTTACAAGCAACAAGAATTCACTCTCTGAACTCTCATTTCTCATCACTTGTGCTTTATTGGTTTGTTTCATGTTGAATCATTTGAAAACATGCAATGAACTTTTCTCATTACTCATCTCTAATTATTTCATAATTTTTAACTTTGCAGTCCGACGCGGGCAGTTCAATGAGGTTTGAAAGCAAAAATGTGAGGTTAAATTTTGCTATAATAGGAAGAGTTTCTGTCAATTGTTATATTTATCCAATTCGCCCTAACCATACTTTGGCACAGCTCAAGTTGATAATTTTCAGATTAATACTTCATGAGATTCAACAATATTATCTATACAAATGCACGTTATTTAACTCTCTTCAGTTCACCTGTGATGATAATTCAAAGTGTACTCACGCTTTTCCTTATCCTAGTTTCTTATGCTATTCTTCTTGTTTTTCGTTGTGGCTTTTGGTTGTTTGGTGTGGCGGGATGAAATCCTACTTCATAAGCTCTGGCTACAGCAAGATGAGCAGCGTTCGATCACTTACGCGTGTTTCCTGGAGTGATTTCTTCACAACGGATGAGCAACGACGACGACTTATGCGGGTTTCTTGTTGCTGAAGAGACCGTCCTGTCCACTGGGTTGGTGCTTGTTCTTCTTCTTGTCGAAAGTCTGGAGACTACCGCTGTTTGAATATCAGCGTTTCTCAAGATCCTGCCGACTGCGCCAATTAGTTATGTGGTTTACACTGAATTTATATTTTTGAAAACAAACTTTATTGAATATAATTATTTACAATGAGGACATTTAAAAGTTTTACAAAAGTGATTCAAAATTTCGACGAACTTGGATAGTCGCGAAGTTGTTCAAGAATGCGGCGTCTTCTTGTTCTCCCATATTTATAGGATCAGGAACTGCTGATGTAGATGTGCATTTCTTCGAATGTTCTAGAAAAACCTTGGAAATGTGCTAAATATGCTGAGTCATTTCCTGGGTAACTGCGTAGTGGCTGATGCAATACTTTGTTATTGTGGTGCAATCCTGGGACAAAGGGTGCATTGATTTTTCTAATATACCATACATTTGCGGATTCAAAAAAGTGCAAGACATGTGAACAAAATCTACAGGAAGGAATCAATATAGATAGTGAAGCCAAAGGAAGCAAAAAAATCGTATATATATTTTTTTGAAAATAGAGAAATATGAAATAGTGTCTCGTTTCTGAATCCCAGATTCCAAAATAATATTTCAAATTCACCTTATCTCCTTTTAGAATCATTATCTGTCCTCATTGCAATTTCAGACTGTTGGTTAACTTTCGTACCAATTGCTCCATTACAAAAAGCATTATTCAAATGGTTACTTGCCTCGACTTATTCCAACGGTAGTCACCAGGTTATTGACGTGACATGAAAATTTTACAAAACTATTAAAATCGCCATCTCTAACAAATTTCAATTTATGAGTTTTGTTTATCAAAGAACTGATGATGGTAGTATTCTGGATGATTAAAACGCATTTCCAATGTTTCAATAATATTTTTCCTGTTAAATTGACTAATAAATAACGCAAAGTATTTTGGATTGCCATAAAAAAGTGGAGGTCCTTAGCAATTGCATAATTGTTTGAACAATTTTCTCTCGAAACACTTCTAATAGCATCGGCGACAACATGACATAATTTTGAAATGTCATTTTCCTGTAACGTTTTTATGTCTTGAATTTCTTCTTTTCTTTTCAGTGAAAAAGTAATACTCATCGACCCATTTTTGTACTTCTCTAAGCATGCTTCTTTTACCTGTGCTCTCTGCAAGAGATTCTCTCGAGCTGCTATCTTTTGTAGAGCATAGTTCTTCATCTTCAGTTCCTCATTTGATTTTCGCATTCCTGCTTTTTCATTTTTCTCATTAGATTAGCCCTTGCGACTTCAGTCTCCAACCCCAAACGATTCCTCTCAATTTTTACCCTCCTTGCAGATATCTTGGATTCATTTGATTTCTTTGCCGATTTTCTAGTAGAATGTATGATACTTTTCAAGGGTGTACCGATTGATCCTGGATCTGTTTCATTCCTATTACCAGTTCTAATATCTGATACATGAGGGGCTATCCATAAATTATGTCACACGAATTTTAGAACTTTTAGTCACAGGTTGTCACATTTTTAGAACCACCCCCCCTGATGTGACGCCACACATTTTTCAAACTTATGCATATATTTAAAAATAATCAAAAGAAAGTCAATTCTCAATTAAAAAATAGCAATGTATTGAAGTCACTGCGCTGGCGTGTGTGGTGGCACTTGTCGAAGGTCTCCCAAAGCCCGTTGCATTACAACGCCGCTTTAGAAGTCAAATGTTGTTGCGTGACTTGAGAGATTATCTCATAGAGCGAGAGTGCTAAATTATTAATAAATATTGATTACATTCGAAATTTTTGCAAATTTTTTATTCACATATAAATTTTAACATGTGACGTCACAAAGCTTTTGACCCTGCCCCTTGTCACATTACGGTGATCCCCCCCCCATTAACGTGTGACGTAATTTATGGATGAGCCCTGAAATCCGGAACTTTTCGGCTCTTCTATGGAAGCTGTTGCAATTTCCAGCGCCTGAGTCATTGAGATATTTGATTCTGACTGAACGGTATCATGAATACTTTGAATATTACTCTCTAATGCCAGCGACCATCATATTATTAAAATTATTGGTCTTGTCATCGTTTCTACTCTGAAATCTTCTTAGATATTAAGACATATGTTTTCTTTTTACTACTCATTATTTGTGGACAGGTATCTAATTCGGTTGAAGGACATGTAATTTCCGTCATTTTCTTTATTTCTAAAGAAAATTCCACTTTTAACTTTTTTGACGTCTATTTTGTCTTTTTCTGATAAAGAACAACCTTTTTTTAACATATCTCATTCATAGGTAACTTGAGTACCTCATCTTTTAATGTTATCCAGATTGGTGCTGAAGGAGCACCCAATAACTTTTATCGAATTTTCTGTTCCAAGCCCTTAAAGCTTCTTTTACTCCAATTACGTTTTGTCACTGACCCTGGATTCTGCTGATGCTCAGCGACAATTCCTGGAAAGGCCTAATATCAGCATAGCCGGCCAGAGAGCATCGCCTCGGGGACGAATTTATGCAGTTGTCTGATCTTAACCACCTATTGTTAAACATCGTTTCTATAATTTTTATGTATAGAATAAAAAATATTTTTTTAAAGGCTTTTCGGTTTCTGGAAAACATAGGTGGCGCAGTCGGTAGGATTTTGAAAGTGGAAAAGTTCATCGTGAAATTGTTTGCTTCACTTTTTACTTTTTGTTCAAAATCGCGAACGTACGCATCCATCGTGGAAACGATGTTCATAGACAATAAGTTGGAATCGAAAAACATTCAATGGATCAGTAGCTCATAGCTGAGATGAAGATGGCTAAGCACGCTTCATTTATGTGTGTTAGACTCCTCTGAAATTTCAGAGTTTCTATAAATAATCTCTTTATTCAATATTTAATTAAAATAAATCAATAATGCCAATACGATACAAATATTGTAAAATATATAAACTGAATTTGATATCATACCTAATATCGATAGGTACATAAAAAACTAAGAAATTTTGAGATTTTTAAAATTTTATGTTGAATTGTTTTAATACCACCATCGAAGTTGAGAAAAAATGTGAAATAAAATTTTTTACTGGTCAAACTTTACGCGTTTTTGGTAGGTTTAAAGGAACCGTATGGTACTAGAGTAAGGGCTCATAATCCCCAGTTTCTACCATGCTTTGACAATAATTAATGACGAAATGAATATTTTAAAT